CAAGGAAATCGCGAGATTGTATGCATCGCTTCGTAGTTCAACATTTGTGTCAAGCGATCGATAACATGATTCGGCATGTGTATTCACAATAATTTCAAAATGAGCGTAGGAGCGGGGGCATTGTTTCGATTCAAAGGCTGCTTGTTTCAATTTTCAAGTTTCAAACATCAAGCAGACTCTACGAGCAAAGAAGCAACTCGTACGGATCTGGTTCAATCACAGACAAGATAGAAACTAAATGCATGGTGGCGCGAAATTACGCAAAAATTATTTTGCTTCATCTCAAAGAATCATTTCCACTTAATGAATTTGCTTACAAGCTTTATGATTAGTATTGAAATTCATCAGTGCACTCTGATGAGGTATCTGCTCTGCATGCTTCTGGATGATTTCAGATCAGTTTGAGTTGTTTATACCTCCTCCCCAAGAAGCCGAGAATTTCGCTCAAACTGCAGCAGATAGCAAATTGGCCTTCGAAAGGGCTAACCGCTTAGCAACAGAAATCACTGAACAGGATAAGCGTCTCAAAGATGTTCTGATGGCTCGCCACTATTACATCAGACTTCGACCATATTTTCCGGCTCCAGGAGTGACCCTACCCGAAGGTGAGTGCATCTTTATTCAATCAGCTGCTCCTCAATGAACATCCCTCATGGAAAGTTTCAATAAATAAGATGTTTTATGGTTTTGTTATTGACGATTAGAATGTTTTCTTACGATTACTGTGTTCAAGCCAATAAAATAAAGACTTTCCTAATGGATCTGTTTCCATTAATGGGGAGAAACTTCCGTGGACGGCCAACATTCAAGGAACAGTCATANGATGAAAGTATTTGTTGGGTATATCCGGTGAACCGAACTTCTGGAGAAGACACTGGAATGTGAGTCTAAGCAATGCGCCTTATTTCACGTCTCACGCCTGAATGTCGCCAATTTGTAAGCGACAAATTGATCAGTATTACTGATCATTAATCAGATCAAATTCTGACATATCGCCTTGTCAAACAGCCGCCAGACCTATGAATTATACTTATTTAATATGTAACTACATCGATAACCGACCTATTATTATAATTCTACTCGCAATCAGCTCCTGATTACAGATTATCACTCCGTCAGATGCACCAGTAGTTGGGAAAACATACCTGTTGCAATTCAAATATACTGGCAAAATAAATCCGTATACAGATGGAGGAATGTACTACACCTACTACAATGATATCAAAAACACAACACAGTAGGTGGTTGATAGAAGATACTAGTAACAATACTGTTGAAAACAATGATAAATGTAATAATAATGCTGATACTCAAAATAATGCTGATACTCAAAGCAATATTGATGATATTACTGATGGTAACCAGACTGCACAAGATTGGGAGTAGATATATGAAAGCCTAAAGGTTGTTTGTTCAGTTGGATGGTTTCGACACACATGGAGAATGGTTTCCAAGCACGATCCGTATTTCCGTGTCTTGACGAGCCATCTTACAAGGCCGTATTCCATATGACACTGATTCATCCCACGCAACTTATCGCACTTTCGAACGCGATGGAACGAGCACCGGAAGATTTCGAGTGAGATGTTTTTTTGCGCATTTGATCTTGTGTTTGCCTTGTTCTAGTGCAGCCAACGGCAGCATAATATCGCAAACGAATCTGATTTTTATTCTGTTGTTGGTTTTACATAGAAAACTTTCCAAGCAGTCTGAGTTATCTCTTACAAGCAAACAGACAATTATCCAGTTGTTTCCTCTTCCAAAATATACCGAAGCTTAAGTCGTGCTGAACGCAGAGCTTCAGTTTCCACAATATCGTTGGCGCAATTCTGAATTCATCAGTAAATCCCATCAAAGAACACTAAATTTCAGTGGTATTCAAGCTAATCAGCTGTACTCTTGTTTGATTGTCATTCAATGTGCAGATCTTCAGGATATGCAAATT